AGGAGATCTACAGAGTCAATGCAATCCCTATCAAAACTCCAACAGCCTTTTTGCAGAAATGGAAAAGCAGATCCTCAAATTCATGTGGAATTGCAAGGGTTCCCAAATGGCCAAAACAATCTTGAAAAAGAACAAAGCTGGAGGACCCGTACTCCCTGACTTTGACAAAGCAGTGTGGCACAGACATGTAGACCAAGAGGATGGAACAGAAGCCTAGAAATAAACCTGCACATGTGTGGCCAATTGACTTTTGACCAAGGTAAAAGAGAAAAGGACAATTTTTTCAACAAATGATGCTGGGAAAACTAGATATCTACATGCAAAAGATTGAAGTTGAACCCTTCCTTACCTTATGCCATATACAAAAATTAACTCCAGACAGATCAAATACCTAAATTTAACAGCTGATACTGTAAAATTCTTAGAAAAAAAACATTAAGGAAAATCTTTATGACATTGGATATGGCACTGATTTAATGGATATGCCTCCAAAAGCACAGGAAACAAAAGAAAAAATAGATAAATTAGATTTCATCAAAACTAAGAACTTTCACACATCAAAGGGCACTATCAAGAAAGTAAAAAGATAAAAAATGGGAGAAAATATTTGCAAATCATATCGCTGACAAGGAATTGATGTCCAGAACATATGAAGAACACCTACAACTCAGTAACAACAACAACAAAAAACAGCCCAATTAAAAAACAGGCAAAGGACGTGAACAGATATTTCTCCAAAGACATACAAATGGCCAATAAGCACATGAAAAGATGCTCAACATCATCAGTCATTAGGAAAGTGCAAAACCACAAAGAGATGCCACTTCACACCTACTAAGAAGGCTGTTAAGAAAAAAAAGGAAAAAAACAAGGGTGGGTGGGCTGTGGAGTAGCTGGAGCCCTCATGCACTGCTAGAGGAAATTCACAATGGTGCAGCCATGTGGAAGACAGCATGGCAGCTCCTCAAAAGCTACCATATGACCCAGCAATTCCACTCCTGGGTATACAGGAGTATATATTCACAGGAATTGAAAGCAGGAGCTTGAACAAATATCTGTACATTCATATTCACAGAAGCATTATTTACAATACCCAGAAAGTATCCACCAACAGAAGAATGGACAAACAAAACTGTGGTCTAGGCACACAACAGAACACTGTCTTAGTCTGTTTCTGTTGCTTATAACAAAATACTTGGAACTGGGTGATTTATAAGAAAACAAAATTTATTGCTTACAGATTCAGAGGCTGGGAAGTCCAAAGTCCAGGCAATACATCTGATAAGTAGTCTTTGGTGGTGGCAACAGTGATGGCAGGGTATCACATTGCAAAAATGGCAGAGCAGAGAGAGACAGACACACTCTCCTCTCTCTTCTTTTAAAGCCCCCAGAATCACACCCCTGACCACCATTTCTAATCCACTCACTATGGCACGGTCCCACAATCTAATCGCCTCTACAAGGCTCCACCTTTCAATTACCATAATAGGATTTCCCACCCTTAACAGTCACAGTGGGGACCAAGTTTCTAAACACTTGGGGGATACAATTCAAACTTCAGTGAGTTTTGGGGGGACATAATTCAATCCACTACAAATACTATTAGGCCATAAAAAGGAGTGAAATTCTAATATATGCTACAACATGGATGGACCCTAAAAACGTTATGCTAAGTGAAATAATCCAGACACAGAAGGCCAAATATTATATGATTCCACTTAGATAAGGTACCTAGAATAGGCAAATTCATAGAGACAGAAAGCAGAACAGAGGTTCCCAGGAGATGGGGGAGGGGAGAAGAGGGAGTTATAGCTTACTGGGTATAGAGTTTATGTTAGAGACCATGAAACAGATCTGGTATAGCTAGTGAAGATGGGTACACAACATTGTGAATGTATTCAACACTACTGAATTAAACACTTTCAAGTAGTTAAAATGATAAATATTATGTATATTTTACCACAATAAAAAAAATGTGGAGGAAAAAGAGGGGCCGACAATACTAGCATTAGTATGTATTAGTATGAAGACAAAAATGAAAAAAAAACCCCAAAATGTCAACTGCAGCTATTTTGAGGAAAAAAATCTTTGGGTGGTCTCCTCTTTCTTTTATCAGTTTTCTCTGTTTTCCAAGTTTTCTTTCAATTACTCTTGGGATAGAAAAATACTAGTTTTATGTTTTAAATACTTTTCAGGTTTTGATATGTGCATAGTTCATCAGTCCAAATTCTTCCTTTCTAGACAGAAAGTTTCTTCACATTTGGGCTCACATTCACAAGGGATTTACTTAACAAGCGACCATAAGAAAAGGAAATAATCACTTAAAATGATTTGAAGAAGTTCTTTGTCACATGGAGGTAAAAGCTAATGTTCTCTTATAAGGTGATTTGGCCCAGCTTGGCCACAGACCCACTGATCACACCCTATCGTGATGACGATCCTTTCTTTTCTCTACCAGACCTCTGGGTGCTAGATGAGGACAGGAGGGGCTTCAAAAACCCATCAGATGGACAATTTCCTCTGGATATGTGATAAAGTCCATAATTTGACCTTCGACCAATAAATTAAAAGAGGAATAGAAATTTAAACATGAAAGTGAGAATTTTCCTCACATTTAATCAAAATTGTTAATATTAATTTACCCTTAAAAGTACCCTAAGTTCCTTCCAGAAAGTCCTGTCTATGTAGTAAATGATACTGACATTGTACTGGGTTTTTATGCAGGAGTCCAAAAGACCTGTTCTCCCCTTTCTGACAAGTAAATAAAGTGGCAGGGAGATCAAAATAACTCACTAAAAAGAAGATATAATTTTTTATCTTCCTTTTTACAGTCTCATATCCACTTCCACTGGGAATAACAAAGTCTGAATTCTTATGCAACACTTATCTAAATGTGTCGATTTTATCGGATTGATGAATTTTGCTAACAAAAGGCAGCGTTAAGAAATCTTTTATGACATATTTGGCCCATTCACAGGGTTGGAGCTTTAATTTAACCAACTTGAGAATTCTGAGGAAGAGCTGCAGGTGTTGGATCTGAAAAAAATCATAAACGGGAAGGCACATCAGTCTTTATGACAGGGAAACAAAAACACTCTCTACTTGCTTGCCCTCCACAAGCAGGAGAAGGAGAGGCAGACGAAGCAGGATATTGTCTGGGGCTGCATAGCAAAGAAGAAGCATCACGGTCTCCTGGTGACCGCTATGTAGTATTGATCAAAAGGGACTGGCCCAGAGAGTAGGAGAGAAATTGATAAAACAAAGAGGTTTATCAACACTACGTGCTCAACAAGGACATTTTCTCACTCTCTCAACCACATCAGAATTAGTCGTCCCTGGGGCTGCCTGAGCAACCAGGTGGCTTTCTGTCCCATAGTCCCCATATGCCTCCCACACTCCCACCTTGCCCCACAGCACTGCCACCTTTCTGCCCCCTTGACTGTCATCAGAGCCGATTGCTTGACAAGGCCTGCTGATTCTCCTGTTAGAGATCTCTCCTGGTCACCTCCTCCCTCCGTGCACTGCCTCAACTGGAGCCATATCTCTCTCCCTGGGAAAACCCCACAGCCTGGCAGCCTGCGCCACTGCATCTTCTTCTTCCTCCCCCCACAGCCCCCTCTGCCTCCTGGGTCTTCCTGGCCAAGCCAGCCCTCCACCTGCAACCAATGATCTCCTGATGGGAAACCTCATCCAGTCACTCCCCTGCACAAAATTCTGTAACAATTTCCTACTTTTTACAAGATAGAATTGTAAACTACTTGGCTTGAAATGATACAAAGGTCCTTTGTGATTTGGCATTTGCTAGTCTGGCCTCCAGCCGCAACATCTGTCTGTCTGCCCATCTGCTATGGTTTGAATATCCCCTCTAAACTCATGTTGAAGCTTAATCCCCAGTGTAGCAGTGTTGAGAGGTAGGGCCTTTGGGAAATGACTGGATCCATTCTTGAATGAACTAATCCATTCTTGGATTAATGGGTTAATGGATTAATTGGTTATCATAGGAATGGAACTGCTGTTGGTTTATGAGAAGAGGAAGGAATACCTGAGCTAGCACATGAACACTCTTGCCCTCTTGCCATGTGATGCCCTGTGCTGTCTCAAGACCCTGTAGAGAGTCCCGCCAGCAGGAAGGCCCTCACCAGATGTGCCCCTTGACCTTGGACTTCTCAGCCTCCAGAACTGTAATAAATTCTATTTCTTTATAAATTATCCAGTTTCAGGTATTCTATTATAAGCAACAGAAAATGAACTGAGACACCATCCAATCAATTTTACAAGCCTCTGTGACAGAAACAACCAGTTGTCCACCAAAGTTCATTTCAAGTGTTGAGACACAGATGGCAGCAAAACACACTTCCTAGCCTCTCTTGCACCGAGGTATGGCCAACATAAATGAGCAGGACTAAGTCCTTACCAAGACAGTCCAAATGGAAAAGGGTCTGTGCCCTCCGGGTCCAGGCCTCACATGCCAGACACAGACAGTCCCTGAGCTTCTCCCCTTCCTGTCAGCTGACACACACAAGTGCCTGTGCTTCAGCCACACAGACAAGGGCACATCCTACCATGGAGGAGCAACAATTTGGAGGCAGCCTGGGTTTTGGGACACCGCACAGAGCAGACCCACCCTCCAACCTGTACTACACACTAGGATGTTACCTGAAAATTAACTTCCAGTTTCTTTATGCTCCTATATTTTTTGATCTCTTTGGCGGGGGGTGTGTGGGTGGGTACAGCTGGCCCGTACAGGGATCAAAACCGGACGTTGGGGTTAACTCCATGCTCTAACCAACTGAGCTAACCGGCCAGCCCTTTTTTTCACCTCCTTTAACAGCATCTTAGCCTTTTACCCAACTTAATGCAGCCCTTGATGCAAGCGAGTGCCAGGTGAGATCCCACTTACTGGGACCAGAGGCTGACACCTGCCTGTCCAATCCATATTAATAAAATGAAGTGTGCCCCAAAGCATTCTCATATAACATTTCTCTCATTAGCAAACCTACTTGGTGTTCTCTAGGGTCTTCTGCATTTTCTTGGTCATTTTATCAATTGCTGCCTGTCTCTTCCCTTCGGCTAAGAGGTCTATTTTGTTCAGCACCACGACCAGCTTCTGGCAGGCAATCTGGCCAATCACAAGGCATTCTGCTGACTGGGTCTGCATCCCCTTCGTCACATCGATGACCAGCATCATCAGATCAATGATCTGGGCCCCTGGAATAAGAGAAGACAAGGTTAGAAAGGGAACACAGGTGGCGAGCCCTGCAGGAAGCTGTGTGATGTCACAGGTCAGGCAGAGCACTGGTGTAAAAGTGGGCAAAGTAGAATGAATGGTGACCATATGACTCCTGGCTCCGGCCCTGTGCATGACCTCACTGAAGCCTCAGACCACCTGAGATGAGGAAACCGAGGTCCACAAGACACAGAGAGCTTGTCCAGGGCTGCACAGCTAACACACAGCAGGGCTGGGTTTAGGTGTAGGCTCATCTGACACCAAAACCCATGTCCTACTGCACCAATCCCATCACTTTCATACCATTTGACATAGGGAGAAATGTCTCAGCAGGAAAAACTCATGTTTTGTGCTAGACTTGGCAAATGCCTAGATACTTGCCCTTGCTAAGAAGGAGGAAAGACAGACTGAAAAAGGAGTGGGGAAGAGGGAGCGCGTATCTACTCCTCCCAGTACTGTGGTTTACTTATGATCATCTTGTGCATAGCTCAGTTGTATCTACTGATTTCTGCTTAGGAGGTTCCTGGTCTTTCCGGGAGGTTAGGAGCATCTGAGCTTCAGGTACATAAACACTGAGTACTGTGTATGTGTGTGCATGTGTGTGTGTGTGTACACGTATGCCTGGCTGTGAGCATCTCCTTAATGAGCAGCACACCTGAGCTGAGCAATAGCAGGTGGACAGATTACAAAGAAGTCAATGAAGGCAAATAGCTGTAAGTCATGTTGAGAACACTAATGTTAGCTAGTGAAGTGTACATGCCTTTTCTAATGGGATCTGGAGTCATTTCAACAACCCAAAACGGTGTAATTTGGGGAATGTAGGAATAGACCAACATTTTCCCCCACTGAAATGAATGGTGATTACATTTTCAGTTTACAAGAATGTCCCATGGTGGTATTACAGGACCAAATGATGATCATCAGTAAGGCAGAGGAGGAGTGCTCTGTGATTCTGATGATCCAGTCCCACTGCTGGGGACAAGGGAAAACAAGGAGAGAGGACTTTTTCTTTTTGTTGGCAGGACTATGTGCACTACGTCAGCTCACTTAATCTCCATTAACCCGGTGTTTCAGATGAATAAAGGGAGACTTAGAAACATGGGGTCACTTACTCTAGATCTCACAGACAATTGGCACCAAAGGGTGCTAGAAACAATGGCTCCTGACTCCACTGAAGAATTCTTCCCACTGTTCTAAGAGGCCTCTGGTCACCTCTGACCTGCCAAAGCTCCTCTGCCCTCCCCAAGGAGAAACAGTGTGTACTCTGACTCCAGGCAGGCCTAAGCATACTCCAATTCCCCTCTGTCTCCATCCTCCTCTCCTTCCTCATCCCATCAGCCAGGGGTCCCCAGGGGCTGGAGGGCAGGGCCAGGAGCACACTGTGGCAGAGGCAGCAGCATTTCCGTTGCCAAGTCACCAGGTGGTAGGGTTCAGGTCTCTGCTATGGCCACAGAGAAGGGGACACTTGCTCTATCATCTACCATGCACATGACATATTATTTGAAACAGATTCAACAATTTAAAAGAATTGAGGCCTATAGAACCTCACCAACGTATAGACTCCCTCATATCTACCGACTCACCTACTTCTCTCTGAAAGCCACCTCTGCTCTAGCTCCAGTCCCCATAGCCCACGTCAGGCTCATGTCAGCTGTTTCCTAATGGGCTGCTTTGGCTCCAACCTGACCTTCTAAATTCCATCCTCCAAACAGCCTCCCCAAAAGAACTTTCTAAAAATACATACTAATTCATATACTGCTGGTGACAGGGGGTTACACTGGTATCACTTCTATGGAGGCTGATTTGGAAAGAGCTATCAAAATGCATGTAATAGTTGGCCCAGCCAAGTTCATGTACATGTGAAATCTCCTTGAAGCATGTTTGCTGTAGCTAAAGTTGGAAACCATGTAAATGTCCATCAGTAGGAGACAGGGTAAAAATAAATAATTAATGCTATACCTATGTAACAGAATACCACATACCCATGAAAAAGTACGAAGAATCTCCTTGAAGCATGTTTGCTGTAGCTAAAGTTGGAAACCATGTAAATGTCCATCAGTAGGGGACAGGGTAAAAATAAATAATTAATGCTATACCTATGTAACAGAATACCACATACCCATGAAAAAGTACGAAGAAGCCTTTTATACTATGGAATGATCTCCAAGGTGGGGCGAGTGAGAAAAGCCAGGGGTAGAAGAGTGTGCAGAGGGTGATTTATGTTAAAAGGGGAAGAGATATACATGTGTGTGCCTGTGTGTGTGTTGTACATGAATAAGTTTTTGCCTCTATATGCCTAAAAACATCTGAGGGAATGCAAAAGAAAACTAGTAACTTGGTGTCTGCTGGGAGACAGAAGACAAGGACAGGAAAGAAATTCTCCACCGTACATTCTTCTGTTCCATTTCATTTTAAACAGGGGTGTGTACTATCTATCCAGGAATAAATAAAATTATAATTTTTTTTTTTTTTGTCTTTTTGTCTTTTTCCGTGTCCGGCAACGGATCGCAACCCTCAGTGTTGCCCCCGTACCGGACCGGGGACTGGCAACGGGATCGCAACCCTCGGTGTTGCTCCCGCGCCTCGCTCAGCCAGTGAGCGGGAACCGGTCTGTATGTGGGATCCGAACCCTCGGGCGGGAGCGCCGCCGTGCTTCCCAAGCGGCGCACTATCCAGTGCGCCACCGGGCCGGCCCATAAAATTATAATTTTAAGTACATCAATCAATAAATAATGAAATAAAATACAGATCTGGCCATGTTGTTCTCCTGCTAAGAGCCCCACTCTCCTCTAAATAAAACCAAACTCCTTTGTGTGGCTTTGGGGATCCCCCTTTTTAGATAACAGCTGCTTCACACTTACCCTGTGCCAGGCACACAAAACCCTTTCCTGGGCTCCTTGCCCCTTCCCTGAGGCCCCTTGGTGCTCGTGCTTCCCTCATACAAGGTGAGCCTGAGCCTACCCCAGCCAGAAGATGCAACCAACCACACCCCAGATCCTCCCAACCACACCAGCAAACCTGGGAATGGGTCACAGGGCTGTGAGGTGGGCTCTGGAGGCAGGATGGGATAAAGCCTGCAGGTGAACAGGAGGCACGCCTTGGGGTCCAGCCTGTGTATCAGTCTCTGCGAAGACTCTAGAGCTGCCTTCATGGCAGAATGGCCCCAGCACTGGCCCAGCAGGCCTCCAGCTCTGGCAGGCAAAGCTGTGACAGCAGAGCCAAGGCTACTCTACCTCATGGGTTCCTTAAGGTCTGCTCAAGAGTAATTCTGACTTTCCAGGTCCCCTCTAGAACCTAAAGACTACTTCCTGCCTAGCCCCTGCTTTACAGATAAGGAACTCAGGGCTTTAGAAAAGCTAGGTGACTGCCATGGTTATGCAGCACTCAGGTGGTAGGAAGAGATGTGAACTCCGGTGCCCAGGCTCTTAACCACTACGCAACAGGGCCTGACCTTCCCAATGTGGACCCAGCCCCATGCCAGCCCCCTCTTCACATCCCTACACTGCTCTCCACTTCCCACCTGACAATTAAGGCACGCCCCATGCTCATGTTCCCAGCCTTGCCTTTGCTCCAGGCTCCTGCTCTGCCCAGAACAACAGCCCAGGCTTCCCTNGGCAACGGGATCGCAACCCTCGGTGTTGCTCCCGCGCCTCGCTCAGCCAGTGAGCGGGAACCGGTCTGTATGTGGGATCCGAACCCTCGGGCGGGAGCGCCGCCGCGCTTCCCAAGCAGCGCACTATCCAGTGCGCCACCGGGCCGGCCCATAAAATTATAATTTTAAGTACATCAATCAATAAATAATGAAATAAAATACAGATCTGGCCATGTTGTTCTCCTGCTAAGAGCCCCACTCTCCTCTAAATAAAACCAAACTCCTTTGTGTGGCTTTGGGGATCCCCCTTTTTAGATAACAGCTGCTTCACACTTACCCTGTGCCAGGCACACAAAACCCTTTCCTGGGCTCCTTGCCCCTTCCCTGAGGCCCCTTGGTGCTCGTGCTTCCCTCATACAAGGTGAGCCTGAGCCTACCCCAGCCAGAAGATGCAACCAACCACACCCCAGATCCTCCCAACCACACCAGCAAACCTGGGAATGGGTCACAGGGCTGTGAGGTGGGCTCTGGAGGCAGGATGGGATAAAGCCTGCAGGTGAACAGGAGGCACGCCTTGGGGTCCAGCCTGTGTATCAGTCTCTGCGAAGACTCTAGAGCTGCCTTCATGGCAGAATGGCCCCAGCACTGGCCCAGCAGGCCTCCAGCTCTGGCAGGCAAAGCTGTGACAGCAGAGCCAAGGCTACTCTACCTCATGGGTTCCTTAAGGTCTGCTCAAGAGTAATTCTGACTTTCCAGGTCCCCTCTAGAACCTAAAGACTACTTCCTGCCTAGCCCCTGCTTTACAGATAAGGAACTCAGGGCTTTAGAAAAGCTAGGTGACTGCCATGGTTATGCAGCACTCAGGTGGTAGGAAGAGATGTGAACTCCGGTGCCCAGGCTCTTAACCACTACGCAACAGGGCCTGACCTTCCCAATGTGGACCCAGCCCCATGCCAGCCCCCTCTTCACATCCCCACACTGCTCTCCACTTCCCACCTGACAATTAAGGCACGCCCCATGCTCATGCTCCCAGCCTTGCCTTTGCTCCAGGCTCCTGCTCTGCCCAGAACAACAGCCCAGGCTTCCCTTGCTCCTGGCTCTCACCTCCCCACCGCACTCTATGCTGACAGCACTCAACCAAGGCCTGGGTTTTCAATCTGTATTCACAGCACAAGACCTAGCTTGGGCACAGCTTCATAAACCTTTGCTGCTCTGAACCAAGCAAATGTTAGTCCCCCCACTTCCTCTACTTTATTTACTGGGAATCTGTTCCTTTTCTCCAAGATGCAATTTCCTACTGGTATATACAACTATCCAAGATTGCCTCCTCTTGCCCCGCTGGCTGGAGGGGATGAGTCATGTACTACTCTGGCTTCTCACACCTGCTGG